TAGGTCCATCGGGACCGTCCGGGGGAGGAGATATCGGCTGCCATCCTGGGAGCCCAGGATCGCCCGCCGTATCGCTGCGACGCCAGCTCCGCCCTCCTTTGATTTTCTTTAAATCAGTTACTATTTGTTCATTGGCATTCTTTAGCATACCACTGGGGTTGGGACCTCCTCCTGAGTTCAGCGATCTTTTGGAAGACTTTCCTTGTTTTTCCATGTCTGTTTCCATCTTCAGTGTCTTTATAGATGTTGTTGTAATACTGCTTCTTGTCTCTTCTAATGCCTCTCTGAAACTCTTTGTTAAGTTTCTTTCTGAGATTCTTCTCTTTCTTGGCTTTGGCTTCTCTTGTCTTCTTGGCAATTTCCATAGTTTATTCCAACATCCATTTGATTTCTTCTGCTTCTTCATCTTTGGCAGTCTCTTCTCACATTCATCCTTAGGTTTCTTTAAGTTTATTCCACAGTTCTTCTGGTTCTCTATCAGTGAGATTCAGGACTTCAAAGTGTTTCCTGATGTTCTTCTTGAAAGTAGTGGGTATATACTGGGGCTTCCTCTGTGAGTCATGGCTGACTGAAGACGTCTCTGTGAACGAGTGGAGATGACAACCGCTGTGTAGAATGAAAGATCGGTGAGTAGACTGGTCCTTTGAAACTCTCTGGAGGAGGAGAGAATGGGAGATCACCCACAAGTGCTTTGAATGGCAGCTTTTTACGAGGAGACTGTAAGACAGCGGCCTCCCACGGGTTTGAATGCCAGGAGCCAAGGGAGACAACATCTTTGCTCTCAGCAGTGGCAGAGCCTTTAATAAGGACATTAAGCCAGCCAAACTCACTTTCTAATCACATTTGGAAATGTTCAGTTTAACCACTTGATGGATATTACAGACCTTCAAAACAGCAAGCTTAATTTGACACCTTGTGAGTTTTAACTTCCTTGGATTTAAGAAATTTTAAACAGAGACTTAAGAATTTAAAATAATATACAATTGGCAAAAAGCAAAAGAAAAGGATTTTGATTTAAGAAAGTTTTTAATGTTTTGAGAGACCAGAGAGGTTTGGAATATTGGTTATTTTTGCTGTAAGATTTGAAAATCAAGTATATAATTAAGTAATATATTTGTGGGAAATTACTGAAATGGAACTAAACTCATATTAGGAACTGAGGCTTGATGAAGGTTGCAAATGGACACTAGAGGGAACTAAAGGACCAGGCAGAAAAGAGTTAAAATGGCTAAGCTGGCTATAATCTTTAAGATAAGAAAAGAATTTTTTTTTAATATAATTGGACTGAGATATTAATAACTAAAATTTCAGAAAGGATACAGATTTCAATGGATAGATTTTTAGAAGACAATGAGAAAATTTTTTAAAAACTTTTACCTGACATAGACATTATAGAGTTTGAAGGTATGGAAGACAACAACCCTGAGATCACCAAAATAGGAATACAAAAGACCAATCAAAAAAGGGATCTGGGCATGGAATAGCTGTGACAAGAAATCCTGGACATTCCTCTTTATGAGATTTACAAAGTAGGCTGGTGAAAGCTTTGAAGATTCCTCTTGAATGCAAAGATTGATGAAAGATCAAATCCTGTGATACCATTGGAAAGATTTAAAGGTTAAGATTGTGAAGGGCAAAAAGAAGAAATATAAAGTTGGACTATGTGATCAGGGATAAATTATCTCTTATAATTGGCAACTGCTAATGGACTTTGTGCTGAACCAGGACTGAAAAGACGACAATTTCTAGCGTGCGTATACATAAAAGTTAGGCTGGGGGAAGAAGAGCTTTTTTATTTGCAACTTTTAAAGAGGGTGAACAGTTATTATATTAGCTTATACTCATTGTGGTGAAGGTTGGAAGCCACTTATTTATTATTGTCTTCGTTGCCTTTTTCTTTTGTACTTTTTCCCTTTTTCTTTTGTTTTTCTTTTTTCTGCACCTTCTGAACTTTTCTTTTTCTTTTTTCTTCTAGTTTAGTTGTATTTGTTTTTATGTTTATGAAGAACTTCAGTAAAATTATTTTTAAAAAAAGTAGCGGGTGTGTGCTCAGTCTAATGAGAACTGGTTGATCCTGCTGGTCCAGAACTCCAGTAAGTGTAAGAGTTCTGGGAGAAGTCCTCCAGTGCATCTGAAGAGTCCTAGGTAGAGAAGAGCATATACAGTGGTACCTCGAGTTACGAACGCCTCTGCTTATGAACTTTTCGGGTTGCGACCAGCTCCGGCCGCAAAAATTTACCTCAGTTTGCAAACTCCGCCTCGGGGTACGAACCGGATCTGCGGCCATTTTCCGCCTGTGCCACGTGGTCCGTGGCCGTTTTTCCGCCCTGCCGCGCGGTCCACGGCCATTTTTCCGCCCGGCCACGTGGTCCGTGGCCGTTTTTCCGCCCTGCCGCGCGGTCCACGGCCATTTTTCCGCCCGGCCACGTGGTCCGTGGCCGTTTTTCCGCCCTGCCGCGCGGTCCACGGCCATTTTTCCGCCCGGCCACGTGGTCCGTGGCCGTTTTTCCGCCCTGCCGCGCGGTCCACGGCCATTTTTCCGCCCGGCCACGTGGTCCGTGGCCGTTTTTCCGCCCTGCCGCGCGGTCCACGGCCATTTTTCCGCCCGGCCACGTGGTCCGTGGCCGTTTTTCCGCCCTGCCGCGCGGTCCACGGCCATTTTTCCGCCCGGCCACGTGGTCCGTGGCCGTTTTTCCGCCCTGCCGCGCGGTCCACGGCCATTTTTCCGCCCGGCCACGTGGTCCGTGGCCGTTTTTCCGCCCTTGATGCGTGGTCCGCAGATGCCGGAACAGATTAACGGTAATTACATTGAACCTTATGGGAAAATTTGCTTCGGGTTGCGAACAAATCGGGTTGCGACCAGAGTCACGGAACGGATTAAATTCGTAACCCAAGGTACCACTGTAAATGGGGTGGGGAAACGATTAGGTATCCCCAACCACTCTAGACCTTTCTGTTTCAAGGAAGGACGTCTTGTTGAAATGATGTCCAGCTGAAGCATTGAGATCTTGCTTGCTCTGATTTGCACAAGCCAAAAACCACTTGTGAGGTCATGGTGGCAACTCTGGAGAGATCTTTGCTGATTTCTCTCTGGGCCAGTATGAGGCCAGAAGATAGACTGGGCAGAAACAAGCTTTCTCTAAAAAAAAGTCACTGGGATCAGCTTCGTTCAATGCTTTACTCTGGGGGAGAATTTGTTTCCACCTCCAATTGAGCAGCATGTTTTTGGGTTGTGGGAGCTGTACTATCCTGTTTACATTCTCAGTTATTTCTTACCTCTACCTCTTTAAGGTGGGAAAAGATATTCCTGTCTCTCCTTCTGACTTTGGAAGGATGAAGTGTGTAGGAGATAATGTATTGGGAAATGGATCATTGGAAGAAGTTGAGCAAAAGACCATTCCATCTTCTTCAGGATACTTTTGGGTCCCTTCTTCCGTGAACTATGCCATAAGAAGCCAGTCCTCTAGTTAGCCTTGTGAGCAAGCTCCTATGCATGATTTCAACATTTATTATTAACTTACCAGTCTTCATATATTTCAAAGCCCTAATGCTCCACAAACCAGACCACTGGTTCTTCCATTTTATAGATTCTTACTATCGTTTAATCTTCCTGTTGCTTAAGGGTTTTATTATATTTGAAATTGTATAAAACTTTTTAAAGCAGAATGCCATCCAGAGATGCAAAGTATAGAGTGTACATGAAAATATTAACAGGCAGTGTTGACAAAGCTCAAAAGGAACTTTGAGGAAGTCTGAAGGGTTGTAATTTAAAGTATTAAAGCTTAAAGCTTCCTTAATCAACTGCAGTTTGTTTTGTTTTTTATGTGACCTCAGTATTATGCAGAGTCCCACGGTGTCATTTACATTATTGACTCAACAGATGAGGAAAGACTTTCAGAATCCAAGCGAGCTTTTGGTAAGTGTGTGCGAGCAAACATGTGCATGCCTTCGCTAGCAGAGGAAACATACTAACCAATAAATCGAGGCCTTTGAGGTTTCACGTTTCCAGGTGTTCCTCTTTTCCTCTCTGTGGTGGGGGTATTTCAGTTGCAGAAAGAGCAAACAGCAACACGCGTGCCATCTTGCAACCTCATTTTCAGAACGTATTGTGACAAATATAGACTGGATTTTTAATGTCTCGCTCTCAGAGTTTGTCTTTTGTTTCTTTACAGAAAAGATGGTAACCAATGAAATTCTGGAAGGGGTCCCTTTGTTGGTTCTCGCTAACAAACAAGATATAGAGGTGCCATTTTTTAATTTTCTAAAATATATCTTTATTTATTTTAGTAGGTCCAGGTTGCTTTTTTGTCCAGAAACAATCAAAGCAGCTAACAGCATAGATAGATAGGTAGGTAGGTAGGTAGGTAGGTAGGTAGGTAGG